TCGTACATCACTCCACATTATTGAATATACCTTGAGACAACACAACCTAAAAAACACTCAACTGGAGACTTCAGCATAAGAAAGGAACCTACTACAACCTACTCCCTGTCCTTCCGTTATACAGTGTTTTTCACGTTATTGCGGGTCCCACTCTCTTGTAACACAAGCGCCGAAGCCTAATAAAAAGTTGTACAAATAAACGCCTTTGTCAGTGTGCCTTTAACACAAAGCAGACATCCAGAACACATCACTGACTATACCTTGCACTACATGTGGCCTCTACTTATTATCCGACAAATGTTGTTTGAAGTTCCCACAAACAAACAAAGCCGGATCAACACACACCAAGAAGAGCCGGCTCTAACACCCAAACGACTCTTATCAGTTTCAACAAAAAGATATTATACAATAAGTAGGGCCGGGGACGCAGATTCAAAAAAATTAATCTAAGTAGAAAGCTTTGTAATAATAATCGCAAACGCATTTTATATCGCAAAAAAAGGTAAATGACCTGAGAACAGTGAGAGCAATTTTCACATGGAAGTTTTAGTATAACCAAAATAATACGAATACATAAGCTTAAAGACAACATTGTTATTTTTTCAAGGCTAACTAAAAACCAACAGAAAGTGAATTTTGCATAAAGTTAGCAAATAGCATATTAGGAATACAGTACATTTCAGAGATTCAGAAGTACCTATAGGTAGTAGACCTTCTGATAACATACACTTTAGTTTTGAAGTATAACACATACGTTCAGACATTCAAAACAATTGGACCCTGACTATATAAACACCACACACACAACAGGCCATAACAGGACTTTGTCTGATTTACCAACAGTTGATTTAAAAAATCTAATCAATTTCACGTCCAACTCTCTCAATAACCTTGCCAAAACCAATAAACAGTTCAACACATATAAGTGCCCAGTGCAACCAACAACGTAATAAATAGTTCACATAAAGTTACCATTAAAATAAAATAATATTCTTTCAATAATCCTGATGAAAAATAAAATCTCTCTGTTGATAGGCCACTGTTTGATCAAACGCGAATTGGTGTGGTCCTTTGTATGCCCGAGTCGGGCTACACGTCCACGCTAGCTCACGCAGCTGCTATATGTTTTGCATTGAGGTGATACTTGACTGATGTGCATGACAATAGCATTCCATTCTTTTTACAAAACAAACCAACACAAACAACAACGGAGAGGAACAGTGACAAATTATACTCGCATATCACCGCAACAATCAGCCTCAAGATAACACAAAAAACAATGCAAACAACAGCTAGCGAGTAGAAAGCTAGCGGACGTAACACCGACTCGGAAACAAGACCCACACCAATTCGCGTTGATCAAAACAGGGCCCCTATGCCAACAGAGAGATTTATTTTTCATCAGGATATCTGAAAGACATATATTTATTTAAATGGTAACACTATGTTGAACTATTTACTTACGGTTGTTGGTGCAGACTGGCAATTATGTTGAACTGTTTAATTGTTTTTGGCCAAGTATGAGAGAGTGGACTGAATTGATTAGATTTTTAAAATCAACCTGTGGTAAATCAACAAAGTCTGTTATGGCCTTCATGAAGCAATGCAGAGAGATGTGTTCTTAAAAGTCAGGTTCCAATGTTCTGAATGGACTTGAAAGTATTGTGTTATACTTCAAAAACCAAAGCGTTAAGTCTGTACAGAGCAAGGTCCTACCTACATATAGGACCTGGAATCCTGAAATGAACTGGTATGCCTGAAAAAGGAAACACAAGGAAGTTGCTGACGAACTTCAAGGTTGTTCCGCTGTCTGTG